GATAGATAGATAGATAGATAGATAGATAGATAGATAGATAGATAGATAGATAGATAGATAGATAGATAGATAGATAGATAGATAGATAGATAGATAGATAGATAGATAGATAGATAGATAGATAGATATAGATAGATAGATAATAGATAGATAGTTAGATAGATAGATAGATAGATAGATAGATAGATAGATAGATAGATAGATAGATAATAGATAGATAGATAGATAGATAGATAGATAATAGATAGATAGATAGATAGATAGATAGATAATAGATAGATAGATAGATAGATAGATAGATAGATAGATAGATAGATAGATAGATAGATAGATAGATAGATAGATAGATAGATAGATAGATAGATAATAGATAGATAGATAGATAGATAGATAGATAGATAGATAGATAGATAGATAGATAGATAGATAGATAGATAGATAGATAGATAGATAGATAGATAGATAGATAATAGATAGATAGAGAATAGATAGATAGATAGATAGATAGATAGATAGATAGATAGATAGATAGATAGATAGATAGATAGATAGATAGATAGATAGATAGATAGATAGATAGATAGATAGATAGATAGATAGATAGATAGATAGATAGATAGATAGATAGATAGATAGATAGATAGATAGATAGATAGATAGATAGATAGATAGATAGATAGATAGATAGATAGATAGATAGATAGATAGATAGATAGATAGATAGATAGATAGATAGATAGATAGATAGATAGATAGATAGATAGATAGATAGATAGATAGATAGATAGATAGATAGATAGATAGATAGATAGATAGATAGATAATAGATAGATAGATAGATAGATAGATAGATAGATAGATAGATAGATATCACAATCATTTGAAAAATCAAATATATTCTTTGTAAAAAAAAATACATTGCTCAAAAAAAAAAATGAAAGGAACACTTTGAAAACCCATCAGATCTCAATGGGGACAAATCTCCTGCTGGATCTCTATACAGACATGGACGGGTGATGTGTTCAGGAACATAAGGACGCCCCATCATTTGATTTAAATGCAAATCATCAACCTACAGAGACTAAATTTCAAAAGATACCCCGAAAATCAATGGCAAAAAGTGATGCAGCAGAAGAGTCCATTTTGCTGAAAATGTCATTTCAGCAACTCAGAATGGTCCTCAGTAGTCTGTGTGGCCCCCACGTGCTTGTATGCATGCCTGACAATGTCGGGGGAGGGTCCTAATGAGACCAGGGATGGTGTCCTGGAGGATTTCATCCCAGATCTGGACCAGGGCATCACTGAGCTCCTGGGACAGTCTGAGGTGCACCCTGGTGAAGTCAGAAGGACTGAAACATGGCATCCCAGAGATGTTCTATTGGGTTTAGGTCAGGCGATAAGTGGGGGCCATTCAATGGTATCAATTCCTTCATCCTCCAGGAACTGCCTGCATACTCTCCCACATGAGGCCAGGCATTGTCATGTGCACCAGGAGGAACCCAGGACCCACTGCACCAGTGTAGGGTCTGACAATGGGTCCAAGGATTTCATCCCGATACCTAATGGCAGTCAGGGGGTGCCATTGTCTATCCTGTAGAGGTCTGTGTGTCCCTCCATGGATATGCCTCCCAGACCATCACTGGCCCACCACCAAAATGGTCATGATGAACCATGTTATAGGCAGCATAACATTCTGCATGGCTTCTCCAGACCCTTTCACGTCTGTCACATGTGCTCAGGGTGAACCTGCTCTCATCTGTGAAAAGCACAGGGCGCCAGTGGTGGACCTGCCAATTCTGGTGTTCAATGGCAAATACCAATCCAACTCTATGGTGCCAGGCAGTGAGCACAGGGCCCACTAGAGGATGTCGGGCCCTCAGGCCACGCTTCATGAAGTCTGTTTCTGATTGTTTGGTCAAAGACATTCATACCAGTGGCCTGCTGGAGGTCATTTTGTAGGGCTCTGGCAGGGCTCATCCTGTTCCTCCTTGCACAAAGGAGCAGATACCGGTCCTGCTGATGGGTTAAGGACCTTCTACGGCCCTGTCCAGCTCTCTTAGAGTAAGTGCCTATCCACTGACCCTAGCCAAATGCAAAACTAGTGAAAAACAGTCAGAATAGATGAGTAGGGAAAAAAATTGCCAGTGGCCTCCACCTGTAAAACCATTCCTGTTTTGGAGGTTGTCTCATTGTTGCCCATCTAGTGCATCGGTTGTTAATTTCATTACCACCAAAGCAGCTGAAACTGATTAACAACCCCCTCTGATACTTACCTGACCAGAAAAATATATCCCAGGAGTTTCACTGACTTGATGCTAGACTCTGATTAAAAAGTGTTCGTTTATTTGTTTTTAGTAGTTTTAGTACAGTATATATAACATACAATGTATCAGTGGTAAAAGCTAATAGAATATACTTAATTAAATACCCATCAAAGCCAAACCCCATCCAGAATTTCATTCATTTGATGTATATAATTTTGTATCTATTTAATCTATTTTTAATCCCACCTCAAAAAAGTTTATACCATAAAATACCAATCAAATTTCCATAAATAAATAAATGTAGATATAACAATTTGTATATATGTTCTACTCGAACAACATCATATTCCACCCTAAAAGTGAGAATTACCTATAATAAAAAGTGGGGATGGCAAAACTTTGAACTGGAACAGGAAGTGTGAGAAAATATAAAAATGAATATGAAAGTGAACCTAAATGAAAAAAAAAAAAATGAAAGTTTGCTAAGTTGCAGGAAAAATGTCAGTTGTGCCTAAGCAGAATCATGAAAGATTCCCCGTTGTCTGGAATTCCTCATGAAAACTAACCTTGTACTTCTTGGTACGTGAGGGTGTCTCAGTGCTCCCGTGCCTACAGCCTCATCACTGTCAGGGATTAAGAATGAGCTGAACGCACACGGGTTAGGTTCAAAGTAGGCTTGGTGAACCCTATTAGGACCACTGGAAGAAGAACCTTAGAATGCAACCGGGTTAGGTTCAAAGTAGGCTTGGTGAACCCTATTGGGACCACTAGAAGAAGAACCTTAGAACACACCCGGGTTAGGTTCAAAGTAGGCTTGGCAAACCCTATTGGGTCCACTGGAAGAAGAACCTTAGAATGAACCCAGGTTAGGTTCAAAGTAGGCTTGGTGAACCCTATTGGGACAACTTGAAGAAGAACCTTAGAAACACACCCGGGTTAGGTTCAAAGTAGGCTTGGCAAACCCTATTGGGTCCACTGGAAGAAGAACCTTAGAATGCACCTGGGTTAGGTTCAAAGTAGGCTTGGTGAAACCCTATTGGGACAACTTGAAGAAGAACCTTAGAAATCAGTCATGGCCGATAATAGGCAAAGGATTGCAAAACAAATGGCATGGGGTCTGGGCACCCCCCTGAAGAACTTGTACCACAGACAAAAAAAAAACAACAAAAAAAAAAACATATCCTGTTGAGTGGGGAGCAAGGGCTTTAACCACTTTAATACCGACATTTTCCCTCTCTTCCTGCCCGGGCCAATTTTCAGCTTTCAGCGCTCTCACACTTTGAATGACAATTACTCAGTCATGCAGCCATGTATCCAAATCCAAAATCTAAATGTTCATCAGTTTTTGAGACAGACAGAGATTTCTTTTGGTGGTATTTAAACATGCATTTTTCTCAGCTTCTTTTATAAAATTTTGCAAATAAGTAAATATAAGAAACAGACTAGATAATATACACAGATTTGGATGATTTTTACCAAAGAAATGAAGCAGAATAAATTTTGGCTTAAATTTAGGAAGAAATAACCCCAATCAGTGTACATTATTTATTCTGTGTGAAAGTTATAGAGTCTACAAGTGATGATCCGTATCACTGAAAATCGATCAATCCTGATGTACTGACTGCTATCTCATTTCTTGAGGTCCTAACATGCCTGGACAGTACATTCCCCCCCCCCCAAGTGACCCCTTTTTTGGAAAGTAGAACAGTCCAAGGTATTTCATAGGAGGCGTGATGAGTTTTTTGAAGTTATAATTGATTCTGGGGCTGCAGGCTTGTTCATAGATAGTGCCTTCGTGTTGAAGCACTCGATACTGCTGCAGCCTCGTGCCTCCCCACTTTGGCCATGGCTGTATTACAGTAGATGACCAGAGACTGCAGATACGGTACAGGAGATGACCAGAGACTGCAGATACGGTACAGGAGATGACCAGAGACTGCGGACACGGTACAGGAGATGACCAGAGACTGCGGACACGGTACAGGAGATGACCAGAGACTGCGGACACGGTACAGGAGATGACCAGAGACTGCGGACACAGTACAGGAGATGACCAGAGACTGCGGACACGGTACAGGAGATGACCAGAGACTGCGGACACAGTACAGGAGATGACCAGAGACTGCAGATACGGTACAGGAGATGACCAGAGACTGCGGACACGGTACAGGAGATGACCAGAGACTGCGGACACGGTACAGGAGATGACCAGAGACTGCGGACACGGTACAGGAGATGACCAGAGACTGCGGACACGGTACTGGAGATGACCAGAGACTGCGGACACAGTACAGGAGATGACCAGAGACTGCAGATACGGTACAGGAGATGACCAGAGACTGCAGATACGGTACAGGAGATGACCAGAGACTGCGGACACGTACAGGAGATGACCAGAGACTGCGGACACGGTACAGGAGATGACCAGAGACTGCGGACACGGTACTGGAGATGACCAGAGACTGCGGACACAGTGCAGGAGATGACCAGAGACTGCGGACACAGTACAGGAGATGACCAGAGACTGCGGACATAGTACAGGAGATGACCAGAGACTGCGGACACAGTACAGGAGATGACCAGAGACTGCGGACACAGTACAGGGATGACCAGAGACTGCGGACACAGTACAGGAGATGACCAGAGACTGCGGACACAGTACAGGAGATGACCAGAGACTGCAGACAGTACAGGAGATGACCAGAGACTACGGACACAGTACAGGGGATGACCAGAGAATGCAGACATAGTACAGGAGATGACCCAGAGACTGCGGACATAGTACAGGAGGTGACCAGAGACTGCGGACACAGTACAGGAGATGGTCAGAGACTGCGGACACAGTACAGGAGATAGACAGGGACTGCAGACATGATGCAGGAGATGGACAGAGACTGCAGGCATACTAGAGGAGATGGCTGGAGACTGCAGACATGACAAAGGAGCTGGTCAGAGACTGCAGAAAGAGTAGAAGAGCTGGTCAGAGACTGTGGACACAGTACATGACATTGTCAGCAGGTAGGTATGACATCTCTTTTATTTCAAAGAAAAAAAAAATTTCCTTTAGTGTCAGTTTAACAAATCACAATGGTGAGTCTTTTGACGCCATCTTGGATAGAAAACAGGTCAAAATCAATAACAAATGGCTCAATGCGAAAAAAAAAAAAAAAAGCATTACAATCAGCAGTCAGAAAGAAGTATACTGCTTCCAGATCAGTGAATGTGGGGGGGGGGCCTTCCTATACACTCGTTATGTCACATACATTAACCCCTTGGTGCTGGCACCTCCTGGCCCTTTAAGGGTTTCAGAAGCCGGGAGGCGGGGAGCTCTCAGCACATATGTTTTTTTTTTTTAATAGAATGGCCGCTCAGTGTCTAGGCCCAGACGCCGGGAGGCCACACATTTGCGTTCAGCCGGCACCAAAAGGTTAAGGATGACAGGCTGGTCTCTCCTCTTGTAAACCCCCAGAGCTCTCTCCTCCCCCCCAATGGCGTTGAGGCAGCTCCCCCCCGAAGCAGACTCTGTGCCCCATCCCGGGGATGTGATGACTGTTGCAGGTCTCGTCAGTAAAAAATGGCGGACTAGATGAATGGCCATGACACAGGGCATTGGAAGGACAGACTCCTGGTCAGGACAACAGCCACTTCCATTCTTAGCTGGAAGCTGGGAAGCAGGGGTGGACTGACCATTGGGGCACTCGGGCAATGCCCAAGGGCCCGGGGTCAGTAGGGGGCCCCATGAGATGCCCCTGGTACCTTTTATAGGCTTTTTAGGGTGTGGATTGGGTGTGGGCAAGGATACAGGGGCCCCATGATCTCCTATTGCCCTCCTAGATTGTAAGCTCCCAGGATCAGGGCCCTCCTATCCCTCTTGTATTGAACTGTATTGTTGCTGTATTGTCTCCCGTTATATTGTAAAGCGCTGAGCAAACTGTTGGCGCCATAAATCCTGTATAATAATAATCATCATAAGATCCCGGTAAATGAGACTCGGTGATCATGTGATCGCTATGTGATCACAATGTTAGCAAAGCTGGTCTGATTCATAATAGCTCTGCTTCTTTTCCTAGTGAACTGTGATTGGCCCACAGCTGTCACATGATACATGGGGGCAATCACATGACCCTCTACCTTGTGACCAGCTCCAGCCAAATCGCAGATCACTATCTTAAGCTGTCATGACAGTTCATGAATGAGTTCGGTTCATGAAAGCAAGCTTTGCATTGCAGGATAAATTATATTTATTTCTCCTAAAAGCAAAGTGTGAAAAAAAAAAAATATCCTTGATCACCCCCCAGAGTAGTACAATGTTACTATGGTAAGTATTTAAAAAATGATAATAAAAAAAGTTTGAAAAATAAATTAAAAAATACTATATTGAGAATTAAAAAAAAAAAAAATTTAAGGTTCTTTTTTTATAACTACTTGCCGACCGCTTACCCTCACTTTTGTGGGTGAGCAGTGACATAATCTTACATTGTGTCTGACACCCCCCCCCCCCCGATTGACCCCCTAGTTGGCCAGGGAGAGAAGAGAGAACATGGCACCAAGTAAAAGTGCTACACTTTACGTGTACACGATAGATTAGCACATTTAACCCTTTGGTCACCTCTAGTAACCCTTTGATCGCCCCATTAACCCTTTGATCGCCCCGTCACCCAGCCAGTGCCATTGTTACAGTGTCAGTATATAGAATTTTTCACTGATCACTGCCACTAGCGACATCAGATACCATCAGGGTCAGTTAGCGCCCCACCCAGGCAGCTAGTATTGCACACTATTTCACTCACGCTATAGGTCACTGATCACCACCATTACTAGTAGAGTGTTTGTATGGATCAATATAATGAACATGAACAGAACTATACTAGTGCATGCTTTGTATAGTGTCCCAAAAATGCAGTGCTAGCAGGATCGGCCCCATTCTCTGTAAGCACTAGCGTTTAGCTCCTTCTGCTGATTTGTACCAATTGGTTGTGGGCCAAAGCAATTTATACGGACAACAATACATCGCCACCCACCCAAATTCAGTTCTTGCCAGACAATTTGCATGGAAACCTATCATGGTTTCTGAATTTAAAACTTTTTTGGGCCTAACCCTAAACATGGGCATTACAGAAAAGAATGAATTGAGGTCATATTGGTCCACAGACCCGATTCATCATATGCCCTTGTTCTCTGCTGTATATATATATATATATATATATATATATACATATATACATATACACACACATACATACATACATATACACACACATACGTACATACACACACACTGAAGGAAATTATTTGATCCCCTGCTGATGTTGAATGTTTGCCCACTCACAAAGAAATGATCGGTCTAAAAATCGAATGTTCGGTGTACTGTAACACTGAGAGACAGAATAGCAACAACAAATTCAGCAGAAATGCATGTCTAACAAATGATGACTGATCTGCACGTTCTCGAGGGAAATAAGTATTTGATTTCTGGCTACCAGGTGTCTTTCATACAGGTAACAAGCTGAGATTAGAAGCAGTCTCTTAAAAGGAGTGCTGCTAATCTAATTTTGTTACCTGTATAAAAGACACCTGTCCACAGGAGCAATCAAACCATCAGATTCCAAACTCTCCACCATGGCAAAGACCAAAGAGCTGTCCAAGGATGTCAGGGACAAGATGGTAGACCTACACAAGGCTGGACTGGGCTACCAAACTATGGCCAAGCAGCTTGGTGAGAAGGTGACAACAGTTGGTGCAATCATTCACAAATGGAAGAAACACAAAACAAGTGTCAGTCTCCCTAGGTCTGGTGCACCATGCAAGATCTCCCCTTGTGGAGTGTCAATGATCATGAGAACAGTGAGGAATCATCCCAGAACTACACGTGAGGATCTTGTCAATGATCTCCAGGCAGCTGGGACCACAGTCACCAAGAAAACAGTTGGTGACACACTACGCCGACAAGGACTGAAATCCTGCAGTGCCCGCAAGGTCCCTCTGCTCAAGAAAGCACATGTCCAGGCCCGTCTGAAGTCTGCCACTGAACATCTGAATGATGCAGAAGAGGACTGGTGGGAAGTGTTGTGGTCAGATGAGACCGTAATCGAGCTCTTTGGCATCAGCTCAACTCGCCGTGTTTGAAGGAGGAGGAATGCTGCCTATTAGAGATGAGCGAATCGAACTTGGCGAAGTGGAATTCGTTTCGAATATTAGGAAAAATTCGATTCGCGCCGAATCCAAAAATTAGCAGACTTCGGATGCGCGAATCAAAATTTTTCCAAAAATGGCGGCGACATGTATGGCGATCTCTGGGATAGCGCGCAGACAAGGCGCGCTGACCCATAATGCATTCATTCATGACATGTGATCGCAGTAGCCAATCAGCAGCCAGCCAGCACTGTGTAATGGTGGAGCTATAAATTGCGGCCATCTTACAATTCTCCATTTGCCTCCGGTCATTCAAGAGAGACAGACCTCTCTGTATTAGGGACAGAGTTAGGGCCACAGATACTTTAGGGACACAGAATCGTTACTTAGGGACACAGAACTGTTACTCAGGGACACAGAACTGTTACTCAGGGACACAGAATTGTTACTCAGGGACAGACACAGAATTGTTACTGAGGGACACAGAATTGTTACTGAGGGACACAGAATTGTTACTCAGGGACACAGAATTGTTACTCAGGGACACAGAATTGTTACTCAGGGACACATAACTGTTACTCAGGGACACAGAATTGTTACTCAGGGACAAAGAACTGTTACTCAGGGACACAGAATTGTTACTCAGGGACAGACACAGAATTGTTACTGAGGGACAGAGAATTGTTACTCAGGGACAGACACAGAATTGTTACTGAGGGACACAGAATTGTTACTGAGGGACACAGAATTGTTACTGAGGGACACAGAATTGTTACTCAGGGACACATAATTGTTACTCAGGGACACAGAATTGTTACTCAGGGACACAGAATTGTTACTCAGGGACACAAAATTGTTACTCAGGGACACAGAACTGTTACTCACTGGACACAGAATCGTTACTCAGGGAAACAGAATCGTTGAATTAAAGAGTATGTCAGACAACACGCAGAGGAGTGGCAGAGGAGGCAATGTTTCAGGAGCGAGCAGACGTGGCAGCAGAGGAAGGGGCCGAGGCAGCACTAGTCGCAGCCAGAGGCCAGTGCTCCCGGTGTCATCCAGCGGTCATGTCTCCACCGACAACCCTGCCGTCATCGATTGGTTGGCTTGGTCGTCTTCCTCTTCCCAGGTCACCTCTGACACCTACAGCCAACGGTCGGTGGGTACGTCAGACACAACCGTTAGTTGGCATGGCCCGGGAGCAAGCCACTGAAATCACGTGTCTTCTACCTGCCCCTGTCCTTTGGTGTTCCCTCACCAAGCGAAGTATCGCATGCTGTGGGCTCAGCCCCACTGTACAGTGAGGAAGAGCTAACAGAGGGCGGTCAGGAACGGGGGGAGACATCCGCCTCTTCAGCAGCCAGGCGAAGAAGTACTGGCGAGGAGAGTGGCTCGGTAGCCGGTCTAGAGACAGGTCTGTCTCCTGACCCACACGCAGCTGAGGGGGCTAGTAGTGAGGTGGAGACCCTAATTGATGATGATGAGGCTGATCGCACTTGGCAGCCTCGTCGTCATCAGGCTATTGCTTCCGCATCATCAGGAGAAGAGGGTGCCAGCTTGGCAGCGAGCAAAACAGTCGGTGGGTTGCCCAGGAGGCAGCAGGTCGCAGCAGTTGTCAGTGGAGGCAAACGGCCACGGAGTAGAGCACCAGCTCCACTGCTGGTGGGTTCCATTTTGTCATAGGGTGCTGGCAGATTACGGGCCTCCCATTGCTGCTGCCAGGCCCGTAATCTGCCATGGGCCCCTGTACCGCCTCCTCACGCTGCTGCCAGGTCCAGAGAGTGTGTCATGGGTCCCTGTACGGCCTCCCATTGCTGCTGTCTCCATCGCCACACTCTGCCATGTGCCACTTTCAGGTCTCCTCACACTGCTGGTGGGTTCCATTTTGTCATAGGATGCTGGCAGATTACGGGCCTCCCATTGCTGCTGCCAGGCCCGTAATCTGCCATGGGCCCCTGTACCGCCTCCTCATGCTGCTGTCAGGTCCAGAGTGTCTCATGGGT